ATATAGATCAAAGAAAAAGTTTTGGCTATAAAGATTTCAATGCACATATTTTAAATTGTAAACTTTAGAGTTTGATTTGGATTTCTTGGAAGGATAAAGTAGGAAAGATGTGCATAGAGAGAGGTGTATATAATATGGACTTACGCTTTCCTAGAGTGAGCTGCTAGCTAGCAATTCTAGGCATAAATAATCATCATATGTATGCATGATTTGATAGGCTCTATCCCAAGGAGTTATAATTTAAAAAAAAAAAAAAATTATAATCAGGACTCTACAATATGTATAAGATTGAGCAATAAAATGATATGTGAAGAATAATGCATAAATAAAACTTTTATTCATTAATAAATTTCAAATTACAACCCAGGATCTACTGTAAAAATGAAGGTAGCCAGGCTCCACCAATAACAAGCTTATATTTCTATTCTTATATAAATGTAGATTAAAATGTGATTGTTTATTTCTTCTTGGAATCTTCTAGTTACTAGATATTCCATAAAATTCCAAAAGTAATGATCTTTAAAAGAAGTTGAATCATTTCCTTTTGGAACCTATACATGTATATAAACAATTATTTTTAAATATTTTATAACTCTTGACAATTTGCAACTCAATCTAACTATATAAAATATCTAAAATATTTACATATATATTTACCATTACATTTACATCATTGTTTAAGTATATTCTACTCTTGTAGGAATATAAAGATTAGTATATAAATAATACTGTGCGAGTGTATACAGGAGAGTAAAATTGCCTAAGAGCCTACTCCAAGTGTGCACTAACATAAAGTAAATATGACATCTAGAGTATATAAAGTAAGCACACTAGATATGAGTACCCTCTAAGCAAGTCACTCCATAAGCATATCAAACTAAAGCACCAACCTAGATTAGGCTAGATTTGGTTATCCTAAAAAATCATCTATAGTGTGTGAAGAAGACTATATGGCTTTGATATATCTAAAGGATTTATTATTTATGTTACTTTATTTGACAGAGTTTATATATTATAGACTGAGGGGGATCTTTAACTTAAATTTAAGTATTAATGACTTAGTATTTTATTATTTATATTTTAAGAAGTTAAACACTACAGAAAAATATACTGCCGGAAAAGGTTCAATTACCGCCGGAAATGAGTGATTTTCCTGTAGTGAAAGTTAATTATTTAATTTTAAAGAACCATATAAGTTCGTGACTTAAAAGTGCAAAAGCCACAAACCTAAGTCCTAAGGTTCATAGTTGTAATACTGTTATTCCCCTATAAAGGATATGATTAATTGCATTGAGTACTTGCATTTTTTTAATGATTTATTTAGAAGAGGGGAGAAGAGACCTTATGAATTTAATGCATATATGTCATCCAAAAGGAATTGTGCATGATGTATAAAGGTCCTTTGGTTTTTAATCATTTATTGAAGGTTGGTTAAAGATCCCCCAATTCGAAGTGTTAGTATCTTCCAAAAAGGCATTGTACACAACCCATGAGGGTCTTTTGGTTATTTAAAAAAAATTATTTAAGGACCTTTTAAATCCAATACAAATATGTTATCCCAAGGAATCAAATATAAAGCATGGAAGGTCCTTTAATTATTTAATTAATATTAATTATAAATTTATTTAATTAATATAAATTTAATCGAATAAAATAGCAAATTAATTTAGTTTAAACGATTCACTGATTTTTTACTTGGATTATTTAGAAGTATTTGTTTGTTTATAATTTAGTTAAATTTAGTATTTGTTTAATTGTATGCAATGTCAATATATGATTCCAATTTTTTTATTTTAATTATTGATTTCTATTTTATTACAAATTTCTATTTTAGGTTGTGATAGCCTAATGAGCATTCTTAGCTCATCCCTCCTTTTCTTTTAATTTCAGGCCCGAGTAAGGATAATGAGCGAGCTGAGTAATTTGGATAGTTGGCTGTAATCTATGTTGTAGGCGTGTTTTGGTTCATTTTGATTTTTGCAGGCCTGACTTTTATTTTATTATTCTCTTTTGCGAGACACTGTTGTAGATATCCTTCAGATTATATATTTTTGAATGATGTATAGAAAATCATGTTCAGATTCAGTAGTCCTTCACATATTATATTCAAGTGGCTTTGTATAATATATAAATTGAAAGTTTTATTTCAGTACTTTTCCAACTAGATTTTGAGGATAATCTTACCACAATCTGACATGATATGAGCTATGTGATATCAGATCATATCGAGTTGGGTTGTGGCATAGGATCCTCCTAACTATTGCCAAAATATAGAATACATAGTGTTAAAAAATCCTCTAATGTCTGAATAGTGTTTCAGATGGTTAATTTGTCTGAGGATAAAATGCCATACTAAAGTGCAATTTCATATCCAGACCTTGCTAAGTACTTCTCCATAACTTGGAAGTAAATCACTAGTCATAATCATATACAATTACTTTGGGCACACAATATATATGATAATATCTCTGATATATATTTGTGTTAACAAATCAATCAGATCAGTGTATCGAATCAGAATGAAATATGCTGATTTCACCAGTCTATCGACAATAACCCATATAACATCATGCCCCCGTCTCAATCTAAGAAATTTATCATAAAATTCATCCTCATCTCTTCCCACTTTCACTCTGGAATAAAAAATGTATGTAGAAGATCATCCAGTTATTGATGTTATTCCTTTATTAATTGACAGGCCTCGGCATTCAAAATAAATTCTACAATATCCTTATAAAATCTAGGCCACCAAAATGTATATTTTAATTCTATATACGTCTTGCTACTTCTTGGATGAATAATGTAGTCTAAATAATATGCCTCATATAGAATCTCAACTCTTAGATCATTAGTAAAAGAAACCCACAATCTACCTTTGTAGAAAATGACACCAAAACCTGATAGAGAAAGTTTAGGTCTCTTACCAGTCTTAATATAATTACTCAATTGTATATACTATGTATTTGACATCTAAGCTTCCTGAATTTGTTTCTGTTGAGTAGGCTAAATAATCATCCGAGCTAACAAATTTGGATCAGTACCAATTGATACTACATATATCTCTAGCTTCTCCAAATCTCAAATTTGGACCCGTTTCTGGTTTTTACCACGATCAGGCATGATATGACTTATGTGTATCAGGTTATATGGGGTTGGATTGTGACATATCCAATCAAAACCATTTAAGAATTCTCTTGTCTTATGGCATGTAGTCTCATAGCTTCTGTATAGAAATGCAAAAGTAAGCAAACCCATCGTTCGTCCATTCATGCATGCAATACCTAAAAAAAAAAATTATTTGCCTTTGCCTTCAACTCTAGTGAAGTATCAAAAGACCTACCCACACAATCTAGAATAATGTACTTGCAGTATTGAACAACTCTTTATTGAAGATGCTTCTAATCTTCTCTAAACTCGACCAATACATTCTAAAGAAAACAACATAAAATTTAAAAATGCAACTATTTGGGTAAACTAACCTAATACAATCAACTCCACTTAATGTTCAACTCCCCCTGCACATGCATTACTTATATAAAGGAGCTACAAAAACCTAGGCATTAGCACTCAAATAAATAATTGATTCATGCAACTCCGTTTCATCAACTATAATGAGAGTTGATTAGACATTATAACTTTATAGCTTACATAATATGACAAGTTGTTGCAAGTAATACTATCAAATAAATGACTTTAATAAACAAATAGACAACAAGTATATGATCTAATGCTACATATAAAAGTTTATCCAGTAATCTTATGTCATCATTACTACAACATCAGCTGATTGAACATTATTACTTTACAGTTGATGTTATATGATCTTAATAAACAAGGACCCAACAAGTACATTATCCTATGCTTTGAATAATAATTTTGTTCGGAATTCAATGCCATCAACAAATTTCACCATTAAATAAATGACTTCACTTAATTGCCATACAATAAATAGAGTATTCCATACTAAGAATAATAAATTTAAACAATAATTAAGATTAAATATTTATTACAAAATAGCTCTTACCTCACTTTTCAAACAACTTCTCTAAAATTACAGAATTTACTAACTGAATATTATATTTTAATTAGATTACATTGGCTTTTTAAATTAAATATTATTAGAAATCTATTTTTTAAATAAATTTAATTAAATGATTTATTTTTTAATAGTCTCTAGTATTAGACCATTAGTGTTCAATATAGTTCTAATTATTCTAAAAAATATTAAAATCAGTATTCATAAGTTAATTATAAAATTAAATTGATTATATAAATGTTACTCTAGTATATATAATTATTTAAAAATTAATTTAAATTTCCTTTATTACTTAAGTTATTCTAATGCCTTAATTAAACTTTAACTTGATGTACATATGTTCTCCACACTATAATTTAAATTTAACATAATTATTAACAAATTAATCTAACAAATTTAATTACTCATTAATTAATTGTCAATTTACGTACTACATAAATTATTCCAAGGACTAAATTAAGAGTTACGTTATTTTAAATTTATTTTACATAAATTAAAATCAAATTAATATAATATATATTAATCTAATAAATTTAATTATTAATTAATTAATTTAAGTTTAACATAATTCTCTTATTTCTAAAAATTGCCTGCAAAGAAAAATATATTTTCCTCTGATTAGGTTTCATTTTGAACAATTTTTTTATTATTCTTTAAAGTAAATTTTTAATAAAAATTTTTAATGTTTTATAAAAAAATTATTAAAAAAAAAATCTCGAATGAAACCTTAATCTAAATACATAAGCAGATAATCTCCGGTCGCCGAGCACAGGCTGAGCATCGCATATAAATATAATATACAAAAAAGGAAAACAACTTGAAAGTTTCTTAATCATCTGTCATCATATATTTATAAAAAAAGAAAATTGAAAATATACTGATATCTTGATAAGTGCTAGGAAATTATTTTTTTATAAAAAAATAAAATACAATACTTCTAATTGTATGAACATACTTGACTTTACGTTGAAATAATAAATAAAAAATTTCATGAATCTTAGAAATAGGTAGCAGGTCGAAGAAGGAGACGAAGGCGTGCGTCTCCATCGACCTTTTACTGCAATCTGATCTCATTTTCCGAGGAAAGAAAAAGAAATGCTTCACTAAGCTGTCATCTCAACCCCACCGCCGCCGCCGCCGTTGCCGTTGCATAAACTACTCGGTTAATATCCGATTTGTTACGGCAGCCACCTCCGATCGGAACCCTAACAACAGCGATGGCATCCGCCGTTGATCCTACATCCCCGCAGTCCGGGAGGGCCATCCGTAACCTCTCCTCTTCTTGGTCGCATGTTTCACGTGGTGAGGTAGAGCCGAACTCCGGCGCCGCCGCTCCTACTGTTTTAACTACCCCGCCTTCGTCGCCTTCGGCCTTCCCGGTTGATTCGACGGAGCTACCGGGACGATCGCCGCGGAAGGCTTCAGTAGGCACGGGGTCGCCACTGTCTTCCGTGGGTCCCGATCATGGTGTCGGTGGCAATGCGGCTGAAGCGGCTTCAACTCCCACGGGGAAGAAACCTGCTTGGAACTTTCCATCGAACGGTGCGATCGACGCAGGATCCATCATTGACTCTGCTTCGTGGCCTGCGCTCTCGGAATCGGCCAAGTTTTCACCAAAATCCGCCTCTTCTGATTCGTTGAAGCCCCTCGCTGATGGGTCAGTCTCTGCTCCGCTGGTGAGATGATTAACAATTTGTTTCAAGTTTACCCATATTTTAGAAATAAAATCAAGAAGTAGAAGATCGCTGCGCTTATTTTCTTGCATGCTGATGGTTCTGTTTTGTACCAGGGATCCCCGGTATCATCTCCTTCTTCGAAACATGCTTTGGGTAATCAAAACACTGGTACGAGTCAAAGTCCCCAGTCTCCAGCTCGCCAAAAATCTATGAAGCGTGGCGCAGTTACAGGCGGCAGCATCAGCAACTCTGGATCATCAAATGGCGGACTTAACTTGCCATCTACCTTGCAAGTCTCAGAGTCAAGTCAGTTGGTTCCGGGCAAACAACCCTCTTCTGGTCCTTTTCCTAAGGGCCTCCACAACAAGAACAACAGCAACTTCAATAATGAAAAGGATCATGGCTCAAAGGCTGGTGGATTTTCTCCTCAATCCTATGGCGGGAATGAACATCAGCGAGGCCATGTTGGTGGCAGAAGGGGAAGCACTGGTCACCATAGCAACTACGTAAACAAGCGGGATTCGGATCGCGTAGGCTACGAGTGGAGTCATCAGAATTTGGGCAGAGATGTCCACATGCAGCAGCCGCATCAGCAGCGAGGTGGTCGGCCGTTCCAAAGGCCTCCGTCGCTTGTAACTGCACCCTTCATTGCTCCTCCTCCACCTATCAGTCCTTTTTCTAATCATATGGGTTTTCCGGGTAAAATCATACTTCATTTGGTTGTAGCATTATAGGTGTCATCATATCTGCTGATATTTATTCCGATCTTTGGTGAACTGATTGGGCTTTATCTCCTTATCAGATTTTCCATCTCCCGTGTACTATGTTGCTGCCCCTCCACTTCCAGAGTCCTTTAGAGGCGTCGCATTTGCTCCTCAACAAGCCCCAGCTCCACAAGTGATGTTTTTTCCTTCACCAGATCCTCAGCGTGCTATGTTGCTAAAACAAATAGAGTATTATTTTAGGTATCGATAGAAGTTAACCTGGTCTTCATTCTTATGGCTAGATATTGCTTGTGAAGTTACTTATTCCTTCTCGCTCATCTTCAGCCCAGAAAATTTGTGTAAAGACATATTCTTGCGGCAGAATATGGACGAAAAAGGTTGGGTTCCTATATCCTTGATAGCTGGATTCAACAGAGTGAGTTGCTTGGCCTTTTCTGCGTATATGTCTTTCTTAATTTTTTGAGCTGTTTTTTGAGCAATGAAATGCGTTATACCAGGATTCTAGGTTTTCCATGAAAAGAATAATTTTTCAGAATACATTTTTTTGGAATAAGCGTATAATTTAGCTGTTTTTTGAGCTGGAACACTGGTCTTTTTTTGGTATAGAAGAAACTCTCAACCATCGCCCCCACAGTTCAACTCTTTTAGACTATTTAAGTTCAATTCTTTCGTGATATAGGCAGGGCTATTATGACAGTAATAACAAGCACGTGACCTGTGCCTACTCGCAAGTATGTGGCTCCCTTGTTGGAGATAATGGGGTAGTGGACAAGTCATCTCCTCCACTCACAGTCGCCCCAAATAAGAGTGCCACATTTCACTGCAGGGCACAAGTTGCCCAAGAAATACGAAGAGCTTTGTTCTCTTCATATTGAATTCTTCACATAGGGTTTTAGATCCCGAGAAATATTAATTTTGATGTTCTTTTGCAAGGTGGTAAATTTAAAGTTCTTTTTACTTCTGCAAACAGCTATATTATTTATGGTTTCATAAAAAAATTGTTTTGTGCTTCACTACTTTTCTATGGTGTCAATCATTCATATGAGAGTTAAGTGCAAGATCCCATAGAAATATTGCATAATATGATTCATCGGAAGCTTGAGCCATGTAGGTTTTTTCAATTGAATGCTTGTTTCAACAAATGAGCTGCGCTATCTTAATGGAATATTGCTGTCCACAGATCATTGTGGATGAAAAGTTGTTGTCCAGAGATTGCTGTAGATGGAAAAATGTTGTTCGCAAATTACTGGTTGTTATGTATGCAAAAATGTTGGCCATGAATATATGATTATTTCAACACTTCCCCAAAAGTTAGATTATATATGTTAATTATACCCAACATGATGATTAGATTATCAAAAATCATTATGGGTAAAATTTTGGTGAGGATATTTATAGTTTGAAATTTGTTGGAATATAATTTAGCTGGCCTAGCTCTTTTTTTGTGCTTAAACATCTGCTTATCTCAATGTATTTAGTCCTGTTATGGCGGACAAAGCTTTTTGCAATACTTTTTGCTTCTTGGTTATTACAATGCAATTTTAAAGTTTTTTTTTTAATCTTATAATTTAGTTCTTGTAATGGTCCTTTAACCATTTTCCTTCACAAATACAAAGAATCAATGCCATGTATTAAGCTTCAACACTATTTCTTGAGATTATATATTATTTCTTATTTTTTCATAGGACTAGATTTCCTTATACTCAAGTATAATAGCGAAAAGTGGATCGTTGGTCTGATGCATATCCAGCCCATCACCATATGTGAATTTTTTTTTTCTTGTTGGATGACTTTTTATATGTCATGCATCTTCCTAGTGTAACCTTGATGTACCTTAGAATTTGGTTAAGATCTTTCATGTGGTATTTAATAAGATTGTCCATATATTATTCTACAATACTAATAGTGAACTCAATTTTAGGATGGGTGAGAGAGATAAATGAGTTTTCTTACAAGACATTGATATCTATTTTCATCAATGGGCATGCTTGTAGTGGTGATTCCCAATTTTTTTTATTGGATTGATTAAACTGCAGGTTTACATGCAAGTATTCCTGTTTCTTGAAGTAGATTAGGAATAGAGTTCATTTGGGAAATAACAATACCTTCTTTTGATGGTGTCATTTCCATACTAAAAAAGTATTTAATATTTCCCAAGTCTTTTACCTTAGATTTTTTTGCATAAAACTTTCTTTAATTTGGTAAATAATGGAATTTTTTTATCCTCAATGGATTTGAAAATATTATTTGTGATTTAGTACAACATAGAAATTAATACATTATCTTGAAAGATAAAATGTTGTTTTACTATAGACTCAATAATAAATTTATATATTTTTTAAATTTTATATACACAGATTTTTTCCTGTTCAATATGTTTAGTTGAATGAGGTTTATTTTATTCCGCCTTACAAGTTCTCCATAAAGATAGTTCCCTATGGTTAATTATATCTGAAATATATTTGGTCCTTGAGAAACTTTTAATTAAAATAATGGTTTACATTCTATTTTCTGAAAAATTGGCTAACATTTCATATAGTTTTAAAATTTTATTTTATTTCTAAAGACTTTGAACTTTGAATTTTCAAAGGATGATTGGACCAACTTGGAATTGATTTCAGAAAGAAGCCAAAGAAAGAAAGTTATGAGTAATTAATTCTAAGAAGCTTGGACGTACAAGCTTCACTTTTAGGTTTCATCTTTCTTGTTCATCTTCTTTTTGCTATAACCCACAAGCTGACATAATTTCCTAAAGTTACAAATAAATTATATTTATAAAAAAAAGGTTAATTAAGAAGTATGTAATATATCAACTTATACTTCATAATATTCACAAATTTGACTTGAACTGATGGTGCCAAGCTGATTTTTTAAACTCGTTGGCTATGCTTATTCTAGATATTAACATATAAGCATCATCTATAAGTAAATGTTAAGTGATGATTTTTTTAAATTTTATTCGCTGCTTTTATGTATGACCATCTGCATGGGAAACAAATGTCTCTACCTTAACCATTTAAGGGCAAGTGTTCCCAATACGAGTACTCTATTAAATAATTATTTCACATCTAACATTACAATCACTTGATATAAAATGAAAATTCTGGTCCTAGAATGCCTTAGAGATTATGCATCTGGCATGTGATGGCATGTGTGGCTGTCACACTCATGGTTTAAAATTGCGCAATATGAGGCTCGCCTTGAGGCCCGCCTTTGCGCAATTCCAGTAAAAAACGCCTCGATGCTTACGCCTTGAGTTTTTTTAATGAGGCTTGCGTCTCAACTTGGTTGAGGCCCGCCTTTAGACCCGCCTCGCCTCACTGGCATGAGGCTTACGCCTCACTGGCATGAGGCTTACGCCTCACGCTATATATATTAAAACTTACATAAATCTTGAAGAAAATGCCCGACATTGGACTCTATAGGAGAGGAGGAAGGGGAGAGAGCAATTCATCATAATGATGATTCAAATGAAGAACCCCTTAGTGATGATAGTGCTGATGACTTATGAGTTCTTATGTGATATGTCATTGCTATTTGTTTTTGGAAATTTGAATTATATGTTAATGAAAAGAATACTGGGATTTGAGAAAGATAGAATTTTGATTTGAACTATATTTCATGTTGTCTTATTATTTGGATATTTTGATTTCATATCATATCTTATGATTTTTTATATTTTATATTATTCACTCATTAGTTTATAAAAAATTTATCATTTTATGTTTACGCAATCTTTTGATTTTGAGGCTTACACCTCAAAACGCCTTGAGGCTTACGCCTCGCCTCACGAATGAAAAACGCCTCAATACCCGAATACGCAATTTTAAACATTGGTCACACTATCATTCAATTTGATATTTAATACCTATTGTAAAAACATAACCCACCTACTTTCGCTAAGTGAGGAATCTATAGCTTGGGTTAGATGAGAAAATCATCTATTTGATTGGGCCAAGTAAATGGGCCTTGACTTTAAGGCTAAAGGGAAATAATAATTCACTTGATTGAGTCAAATGAGTAACCAATACCTTTGATGCCAAAGAAAAGAAACCTATTTAATTTGGGCCAAATAGGAATGACTATTAGGATTAATCCTAAGTTAGGAGATGTATTCGTCTTCTCGATTTTTGTTCAAGCAAACTAATATAGATGTTTGAATAATTTTGGAGTTAAAGAGATGTCACAGGCCTATAGTTTTGAGGCTAAGGGATAAAGGGTTGTTATGTGGTTTTGTCACATAACACGATTGAGCTATTTACTTAAATTGGGTTCAAATAAATGCATTAAGATTGAGATTTTTGGTCTTTAACTTGGAGGCTAAGGAGTTTATGGAATTTTCTATAGCTTTTAGGATAATGAGAAAGAGGATTTCTTATAGCTTTTAGGCTAAAGAAAAGATAGGTTATTCTACAAATTTGGGTTCATTGAAATCAATGTATTTTCGTAATTGAGTTAAACAAATATGATTGAGGTTTAGAGACATGATCTATAGTTTTGGAATTACAAATTAAAGAGAGATCTTAGAAGTTTTGAGTTTAAGGGTGAAAGTTTTATTTTCTTAATTTGGATTAAGCAAATATAGCATGCTAGAATTTGGGTTTTATATGAAAGGTTGAGGTTATTGATTGATTCTGGCTCGAGTAAATAGCCAAGAAATCTTAGGAGTTGGCCCTTAGGATTATTGATGCTGTTTTTAACAATTTAGGAGGTCAATTGGAGACCTTCAAATGGGTTAGAGAGAACACTAAATAGAAGGAATCTAAATATGAGAAGATTGAAGTTGAGTTTAGTTTAACTTGAATAAAAAACACAACACTAGATTTATCTAAAGGTGAATTGGTTCCAAAGAGGTCCTACGGATTATGAAGTTAAAGCACTACTCATGGAGAGAAAGGGAACTCCTAAAGGGTTTCTAATATTTTAGAATGTTTAGATTCATTGTTAAATAGGAGTATACCTATGACTTAGTAAATCAGATTAGATTAATTTTGGTTAAACCTATTGATTTTTTAAAAGCACACTAAAGGTGGTTTGCATTTTTTAAGGACTTTTCATGTTCAATTATGAGTTCTCTAAATTCTGAACAATCAATTATTTGTTCTTATCGGAACATGCTCAATTAATTTCAATCACTATGAGTTATAAAACATAGACATTTGAAGATCTGAAATACCCCATAATAATTTTACAATTCTTGAAGTTTATTAAACTTATTTGAATATTTTTCAACTATGTAAAAGAAATAAAAATCCTTTAAAATATAAGATTCCCTTATCTCTAGGTTAATTTTTTCATAGCCTTAGAAAGTGAATGATTCGTGTAGCTGACCTTATGTAGTGGGATAAAGGCTTGATGTTGTTGTTGTCATCGTCTTAGAAAAGGAATGCAATGCGACTTTTATTGGTTTGAACA